TGCCTTAATTTCCAAGTTCTACTAGAGTAAAGGAGATTGAGTTCTCTTTCACTAGTGTATCTTTAAGTGCTCCATCCATTCAGTGAGTATCCCCAAAGTCTTCTTTCCATGTAAAGAACTCTGTAGATTACCCGAGATCACCTCAAAAATAGCAGAGAATTAAATTCCTGCAATAGTTGCTAATGTATGAAAAACTGAGTATCCTTAAAATATCAAGCATATATGAGTTAAAATATAGAAACACAAAATACTAAAAAGCTGTTCTCTTACAAATGCTAACTCCGACTTTGCAATTCTGGCCACATGTCTCTTGCTCTGTGTGCCTGCCTTCTGCTGAAGGAAGGAAAGACTAGGAAGATGAAAATACCTTGGCAAGCAGAAAGAAGGTAAAAACCAATTACCAAAGGGCTTGGTTATTTGAAGATTGTACTATTTAAAAGGAAATTTCTACAAAATACATGTTATGACCTCTAGAAGAATAAGCAGGTTTGTACTGTTTCTGTTAGTCAAAAATCCCTCCCAGCCATCCAGATTTTACTTCTTTCACCTTTTGGTTTCTCCACTGCTCTCCGTATGTGTGTCATGGGGGGAACAGAAGACGGAAAGGAGTGAAGCTAAGTAAAAATGAGAAAGAGTAGGAGCAGGGATTCCTGTGGCTCCACTCTGACCTCACATGTCCACTCAGTGTGACAAGGACACCATCCCAGACAGAGCAGTTGGTACAAAGCCACAGTTGTTTATCATGAGCAGCAGATCAGCTATAACAGTCACTGGAAATGACAGGAAGAAGTTCAAAGAGGACAGCAGGAGTGCAGGGGTCCCCTCCACAATGGCCCATGTTGCCCCATGATGTCACCGTTGAGAAGGTAACCAGCATGATAGTCACTTGTGCTAAAGGGGAAGAATCTTCAGTGAAATAAACATGGAGGCCACTGTACCTCAGTGACCCCTGTGCTGTAAGAACAGCTTGTCTACAACCAGTTCTCCCACCACTACTTAGACTGCAGGCTTTCCCACCTCTAATGCCCACAGACCTCTGCCTCTCTCCCAATACCATTCATGGTAACCGTGACAGTAATAGATGACATTGCTATCCCTTCCCAACAGCCAGCTCTGTACTCAGCATGTCCCCTGCTGAAGGATCCTTGGACCCCAAGGTTTCATAAAGAAGTATGACAGGTGTGTGAATATTATGGTTTGGGTTTATTTATTTATTTGTTTGTTTATTTATTGGTTTTTCGAGACAGGGTTTCTCTGTGGCTTTGGAGGCTGTCCTGGAACTAGCTCTTGTAGACCAGGCTGGTCTCGAACTCACAGAGATCCACCTGACTCTGCCTCCTGAGTGCTGGGATTAAAGATGAGCGCCATCATTGCCTGGCTGACACGTACATTTTAGTAACACCTGCTGGAGGGGCAATATTGTCTGTGAAGCCACCCTTGCCCATAACAGTCCACCTAGACCCAGATGGTGTCCCAGTGGAAGCCTCACTAAAGCCATTTTATAAAAGAAAAGAAAGAAAAAAGAACAAGCAAGCAATGACAAAGCTTAAGTAACTACACCATTTGAACTCGTTTGACAAACTTACTGCAACAAAGGCTACAGTGATGGCCAATGCTAGCTGTCAAAATCCAGAATTATCTGTTAAATGGGCCTTTGGGCATGTTTGTAGGGGTTATTATGACTAGGTTAACTTAAGAACAGCACCATTCCCTGGGCAAGGTTTCTTGGAACAGACAAGGGTATAGAAAGGACCTGGGTAGTAGCAGCATATACTTATTCAGTGCAGTATGACCAGCTGTCTCAAGCTCCTGTGTGACTGTGACTTCCCCAAAGCGACGGACTATAACCTCGGAGCTAAAAATAAACTCTCCCCTTAACTTGCTTTTGTCAGAGCATTTTATCACAGAAGTAAGGAAACTCAGATAACCACATATAGTGCATTCCTGAAAATAGAGAGAGGCAAGAGAGCAATCATGAGAGACAAATAACCAGGAAAGGGCACCAAGCCCATGATGTTAAGTCACTGCACTATATATGGCAAAAATGTGACAACTTAAAATAGACCACTTGTAAAAGCAGAGTTAAATATAGGAGCTGCTAAAGGAACACTGCAAATAGCATCATGTCAGTCACGGACACGTCTATCAGTTTCGGCGGCAGCAAGGAAATACCACCTACAAAACAGTCCTGTGTTTCAGAGAGCTGCCGTGCCACCGGTTTCCCCACACTGCTTCTGAACAGAAGAAACATGACCAAATGAGCCTCGGCTGCCCTGCCCACAGTTTCACAAGGCCCTGTGGCCTACAAGATCAAGACTGCAGGCACTCCTAAGACATGCTCATCCTCTCAGCAGTAGTCCTCTGTAGCTGTGACACAAAAAGCAGCCGTGATTAGAATAAGACTGGGGGTGTTACCTCAGTGGTAGAGCACTTGCCTAGCATGGATGAGTCCCAGGGTTAGATCCACAGTACCACAACAAAAGAAGAAAGAGAAGAGGGAGGGGCGGGAGGGGAGGACGGGGAAAGGGGGTAGAGGGAGGAAGAAACAGCAGCTCCTTCAACATTGTTAAAGACCAATGAGCCACATATTTCCACACTTTATTTATTAACAGATAATAACAATTCCTGTTGCTACTGTGAAATGAATTTATCTTAAAACTTTTTAATAACACTCTGTAGTATTCAATACTTTCCTTAATTCCAATTCCTAAATACTTCTTTGTTAGTTAAAAGAATTGATTAAATGTTTACCGAGAAGTCCAACAAACTGCCAAGTCCAGAAAAGAGAAAATTCCAGTGCCACAAACCTCAAAACCTTATGGACACATGACTGCATTAGTAACTTGTCCTGTTGCTTCAACAAAATGTCTGGCAAATGCAGCTTAAGGAACAAAGATTTATTTTTGATACACACTTCAAAGGTACAGTTCATTATGGAGGGGAGTCCCAGGCTTGAAGCAGCTGGTCACCTTGCCTCCACAGTCACTTGAGTCAGCTGGTTACCTTGCATCCACAGTCGAGAAGCACGGAGTTGGAGATGAGGCTATAATGCAGTAGGAGAACACTTGCCTCATAGGCATGGTTAGAATCAGTCCTCAGTGCTGAAGGAAAAATAATGGGACAAAGGGCAATTATAGTCATTGTGCTTTATTTTTATTTGTTCTGTGATACTAAACTATCTTGTGGTTCTGCACACAGCTAGTGAGGGGTCCTCCTCAATCTAATAATTCAACTAACTCAACTAACTCAATCTAATAATTCTTCATAAATATGCCCAGAAGCTTTCATCTTTAGAGAATGAGGGTTCTGCCAAGTTGATGCTATAAAATATCACAAGTGTACCCCTTACCAATTTGATACCTAATATACCTCGTAGGCAGTAACTATCTGTTCTTTGTCCCTGAGCATTCATAGCCAACTCACAATACAGAATGCATCCATTCCAACTGCAAACATCTACTCATTCTTTAACAGTTTCAACAGCATCTAAAAGTCCAAAGTCTTCTGATACTAAAGACAATGCCTTAACTGTGAACTTCTATAAAGTTACAGATGAGTTCTACTATACGATGGCACAGAATAACCACTCCCATTCCAACACAGAAGAATGGGAGCACAGCAAGAAAAGATCAGATCAAACCAATACCAAAACCCAACAGGCCAAACACCAAATCGTACAGTTCCATGTCCAGCTTCTGGAGCTCTTGATGGAACAGTCTAGGCCCCAAGGGACTTCAGTGGCCCATTTTCTTCAGCTCTGCTGCCTGCCATACACATACCTATCTCTTGAGTCAGCTCTACTCCCAATATTCAATTCTCTTGTCTTCTCCTCCCTAATTCTGGGATTACAAGAACAGGCCACCATACCCAGTTTTGGTTTGTTTAGGCTTTTTTGTTGTTGTTTTGTTTTGTTTTGTTTTTTATGTGGATTCCAGGGATTAAACCTGGGTCCTATTAAAAACAAAATCAAACATACAAAATAGATGACTGGGCAGTGGTGGCACAAGCATTTAATCCCAGCAATCGGGAGGCAGAGGCAGGTAGATCTCTGTGGGTTCGAGGCCAGCCTAGTCTACAAAGTGAGTTCCAGAATAGCCAGGGCAGTTACAGAGAAACCATGTCTCAAAACAAAACAAAACAAAACAAAACAATAACAAAAAAGTGGGAGATGCTCAGGTTCAGGTCCTCCTGTTTGTATAGCAAGCATGTTACCAGTTGTGATACCTCCTGGGCCTGCTGCTTCTTGTCTTAAATACAGTTATGAAACACCTGATCAAAACAACTCTTTTAACGAAAGCATTTAATCAGGGACTGGCTTCCGTTTCCATAGAATCAGTCTATGACCATCGATGTGGGAACATCACTAGGCATGGCACTGGAGACTTTACATCATGACCTGCAGGCAGCAGGCAAAGAAAGGGAGGTGCCAAGCCTGGCATGGGCTTTATGACCCTCAAATCCCACCCCACAATGGAACACCACCTCTTACAAGGGCATACCTTCTCCAGCAAGGCCAAACCTCCCAACCTTTCCTAAACAGTTCACCAACTACAGACTAAGCATGAGAATAACCATTCACATTCAAACCACCACCATGTCTATACAGCTGCAAAACCACTTTCGATGACTAAAGAGGGTATGTCTACGTATGCCAAGAAACAGTTTCAGTAATTAAGGTGGTTTGGGGAAACAAAACGATAATGTGGAGAACGGTATACCACATTTCAGCATATCTATCGCTGGTACAAGTGTGGTCAAATATGACTTGCATGAATATGAATTTACTACAATATTTGATGAACATGGAGAGGCAGGCCACCCCAGACCTCCCACTGGGAACAGAAATTCACACCTGTAGGAAGTCCATGGTGACAATTACTAAACTACCTTTGAGATTCACTGGCTTATTTTAGAGGAACTATTTTTGCCAAGATAGAAAAATGTATCTGCTTGGTTTTCCTTTTTAACTTTCTTGCTATCGGTTTTTTTTTTCTTTTCAGGAGACAACAATGGGTGGTCTCTACAATTCGACAAATACTTTGCTACTTACTACAAACTGACTTCCACGAGTCCCTGGGTGGCAAAATCTTCTGAATGCTGTAAGTAGCCACAGCAGCTGAGTCCCCTCTTTGATGAGTTCATGGTAAGACACCATGCTATTAAATTTTGGATACAGGATTCTTTTTTGAAAGCCAGTTATAGTTTGCTAGTGGCAAACATTTTAAGAAAGAAGGCCTTAATTTGGAATTCTGTTTTTAAGTGCATCCGGAATCAATCAAATCAGGTATTGCAAACAGAATTAGTATCAGTGGTCAGGGTTGCCGTTTTATGTAATGTCCTTTTCTGCCATCACCATAAACTGAAGAGCAGAGCAGCTGCTGGGGTCCTAATGTCTGCAAGTGAAAAAAGCATCTGCGGTTGAAGCCACAGATCTCTGAAAGCCCTATCTCTGCAGCTTGCTATGCACAGTCACCTGCTGAACATGTGCAGATACTGCTCGGGCTACGGAAGGAAGAAAGCCTGAACAGTAGTAGCTTCATCATGTTTAAGGTCAGGAATACTTACCACAATAATTCCTCTTAAATAAATTTTGTCTAGTTAATAAACCATGCTAATATACATGTGTGTTTTGAACCTGTAATTTTCAAAGCTATACTCATAAGCCAAGGGTTAGAGGACTGGAAGACTCTTTTGCTATATTCTTTTCCTTTTTGTTCTACCACAAATTTAAAGTTTAGCTTTTCAGATCATTGGTATTTTTTTGTCTTCACTAATTAAACAGGATTGATAGGCTACCAACAGTCCCCAATGTTAGGGTATGCATATCTCTCCCCGTGAGTCTTAGAGGTGCCAAGCAACCTATGTCAGAATCACACCTGCCTCTCAAAAGAGGGGACCAAATAATTGGATCACTAGAAAGCTAAAAGTTCTGCTGGTGGTGTAGCTCCATGGCAGGACACTCACCTAGCATGTATGAAGCCCCAGGATCAATCTCTAATGTGGCTGAAAAAAATTTAAGCTAAAACCTTTTTTAAAGAAAAAAATTTAAAAGTATAACATTGTTATTAATATAATATAAAATATAAACTAAATGTATTATCTTAAAATATAATTTCATTTTTAATATATTAGTTTTCATTTTGTATATTTTAATTGAATTTTATATTTCACACTATTCAGAAAATTGAATTGAATCTTATATTTTACCACATTCCAAGCATATTTTATCAATTTAAAATTAAGGTATAGTTATTAACAGAAATAAATCAATAACATGTCAACAAGTTTTAAAAGGCAAAAGTTAAATGGAAAATAAAAAGGTAATAGCTCCAAAAAAATTCTATAAGAAAATGCTCAGTTTGGTGTCATGGTACACACCTGCACATATATCAACATAAGAAGCTCAATGGTATAATATTGTAATGACAACACCATAGGAGGATCTGACATCCAAGACCATCCTGGGCCACACAGTGAGAGCCTGTCTCCAAAAACACAGGAAAGAAAGAGGGGAAATGGAGGAAAGGAGAGAACAAATGAAAGAGGAAGAGAAAGAGGAAATGGGGAAGGAAGGAGATCAGGAAAGCTCTTGCTGAGACTTCAGCAGCAGCATCCAAAGCTCAGGTCATTAAGGTCAAGGAGAGAGAGACCTTACCTAACACATGGTTTGTAAAGCAAAAATAATGGTGAGAATGGACTGAATCGGCCAAAGAACCCTGTTTTACCCACTCTGTCACGGTGGGAGAGATTTGTCACAAGTGTAATTACTCAAGAAGCATGACACTACACAATAAATGGTGGACCAAGATCAACACAGAGGTAATTTTTTTTGTCAGCACTTAGAAGACATAGAAGGCTGGATTTTTATTTAGATTACGTTAGAGAGCGTGGGGATTAAAATTGCTAAATTAAACATCTTTTTCAGGCAGTACTTGAAATAAGAGTGCAGGATAAAAATCTTGGGGTGAAACTTAAATTAAGGTTCCTATTTGTTAACACTTTTCTTGTGTCAGATTCTTGGTGGAAATTAACCTGAGAACAGCTCAAAAGCATTCTTAGATACTTGAAAGAATGTGAGAAAGTCACATTTTAAAGTCTTAGGAAGCATCATACGTAGGATCGTCAATACATGAGCAAAGTTTAACTTTGAAGGATGTGAGGGAGAAATTGTTTTCTTGTTGGCTACAAGCATTAACTTGCTGATGCATTAACCTTCTTTTTAACCGAGTTGATATTCTTACACGAACAATTTTTAATAGGATTTTATATTGGCAGGGTGGCGTTGAACCCATAGTCCTTCTAACTCTGCCTCCCAAATGCTGGATCACAGGTGTGTGTGCCACCACATTCCACAGAACAGGTACAACTTTGGGATGTAACAGAATTCAGTTTTTCAGTATTTTAAGACATCCTTTCTTTTCTTTGGGTGAATAATGCCTAAAACTGCACTTGTGAGGTATAGTTGGGCTCTCTCTCTCTCTCTCTCTCTCTCTCTATATATATATATATATATATATATATATATACATATGTATGTAGACTATCTCTCTCTCTCTCTCTCTCTCTGCTCTTTGAGGGGCCCAACACCCATCTCCCAAATAAATCACACAAATAGACTTATTCTTTCTTATGAATGCTTGGCCTTATCTTGTCTTGTTTCTCGACAGCTTTTCTTAAATTATTCCATCTACCTTTTGCCTCTGGACTTTTATCCTTCTCTATTCTGTATACCTTTATTTCTTTCTTACTCTATTGCTGGTTGTGTAGCTAGGTGGCTGGCCCCTGATGTCCTACTCTCCTCTTTTTTCTTGCTCCCCATTCTCTCTTCCCAGCTTTCTCCTCCTGTTTATTCTCTGCCTGCCAGCCCCACCTATCCGTTCTCCTGCTTGGCTATTGGCCATTCAATCAGGTGTGTTAGACAGGCAAAATAATACAGAGTTAAACAAATGAAACATAAAAGAATGCAGCACATCTTTGCATCATTAAAAAAATATCCCACAGCATAAATGAATGTAACATGTCTTAAAATAACATTCCACAACAATGGGATGAATGCTTTTCTGCAGAATGGGATGGAAGTATGCTTTTGACCATCTTGTGGGGCTGGAGTATCTTTCAACACATCTAAAAATCACTGGAGATCTGCAGTTCACATGGCTAAGCAGTTTTATGGCATTTCTATTCCATATAACTTATACAGTATGGTTTCTGCTTGCTATGGAATGGACACTGCCAAGACAGCAAGCGTTCCCCTCTGCATTTACTCCTTCCTGGTGCTGGAAACTGCATGGCAGAAGCTACAGCTGCAAATATTTACTGCCCTGATGTACAAAGGGAACCATTTCTTTTGTTTGTTTGTTTGTTTTGTTTTATTTTTTGTTTTTTTATATATTTGAATTACAAACAAGATTGAATTACATGACAATCCCAGTTCCCTTCTCTCTGGCTTCCTTCCCCTCAACTAAAACCCTACCTATCATATGTCCTTTCTTCTAATCTTCATCTGACTCAACCTTTCTGCTTCCTCATGACCTCTGCATCCTTCCTTTTCTTCAAAGGGAACCATTTCTAACTGTTGTCAATCAGGAATGCGTGTAGCCATGTTCTACCACCTTCTTCAAAGAAACTAAAATTACAGTGCTTTAAGTGATTGCTTACTTTAAAGCAATTGTAGCTCATTTAAAAGACTGCATGGAAAAGCAGAAGTTGCTGTAAGTTCTCTCAATTCCTGAGCTGCACAGGAAAACCCTTTGAAAAGCATGAAAGCACACCATCCATTGCTTTTGGCTCCCTTCTGGCTTGCTTCTGACAAAATGATTTAGTCTTCCACCAAAGGCTTTATTTATTACTTTCGATCCTTACTCTCAAACAGAAGCTTTCAAATGGACATTAAGTTTCCACACCATCACTTCTCCCTTTGGAGACAGAAGAGGAAGATTTTGTTCATTTTGTAGCAAATGAAAGTCAATTGGATATTAAAAAAAAAAAAAATGGGTGGATGGCTCATTTGTTCCTGTACTAGTTCACAAGTCCATCCCACATGGGATTCAGTTCATTATCTCCTATGTCTAGAGAATTTAAAAGATCGTAAGGAAATTTGTTCAGGAAACTCTCCTTTCCCAAACCCAAGTTATTCAGCTTTCCATTGTCATACCAAAGATCTGAGAGGGGGCTGGAAGATTTCTCATTGGTTAAGGACACTGGCTTCTCTTGCAGAAGACTGGAGTTTGGTTTCCAGGACCCATCTCCCTCCCCCTCCCCCACCCCTTTTTCCTCTATCCCCAACCTCTATCCCCATGCTCACAACCCCTGTAACCCCCAGCTGCAAAGGATCTGGTGCCGTCTGGAACAACCATGAACACATGAACACACACAAAAAAAAAATAATAATAATAAATCTTAAAAAATAAGAAAGGAAGTGGTGGGTGGGCTGGGGGTGGGGGAGGAGGGTTGGGGGTGAGGGGAGGGAGAGGGAGAAGGGACTTGAAATAAGCTTGTTCCCTAACTAGAACTAATAAAATAAAAAAAAAAAACAAAAAAAATGAAACTGGAGATAAGTCACTCTAATGAGAAAGGAAATACTGGAAATACAATTTATTTTATGAAACATAAAAAAAAATAAGAAAGGAAAAAGAAAAAGGGTTGGGCTCCTCAATGTGTGTGTTTCCTAATGTTAATGCTAGACTGGTCTGGTCTTGAAGTTAAATTCAGAGCAAACTGTGGAACCTTAATTTACAGCATTCCCCCAAGTGCTTGGGTAAAGCATGATATACTTTTATACTAGTCAATGTTCTCATGGCTCTGCATTTCTTTCTCTTCATTCCCCTCCTCTCCCTGGTCCCTCACGTCATCATTCCTCCCTGCTTCCTCTCTGTTCAGTGGTTGGCTCTGTGCCCATGCCTTGTTTGTGCCGAGATCTAGAACTTGACTGTGATGGAGCCAATTTACGAGCTGTCCCGTCAGTTTCTTCCAATGTGACTGTAATGTAAGTAGCAAAGATTGGCTCATCCTTAAGGCTGGATAGAACTGCAGTGAAACCACCCGGAATGACACCAGGTCAATTCTTAAGATGCATTTGTGTTCAAAGACTGTCTCATCTGTAGATCAGTGATAATGAATTTTTCACAGATGGTTTTAAATACTTTTAAATACTGGTCTCACCTTAAATGACTCCACAAACAACTCTGGAAAGTGTTGACCACTCACCATATTTTATCTAAGCAAAAGATACCATCTATTTCAATTGTTGGGGGGAGCTAAATAAACTACTACCCACAGCTTTCCTCATCACACAGCGTTTTTATTGAATGCTTACTGAAAGAGCTGTTTTAGAGTTTATTACACAGGAAGAAGTTTTCATGTACTCTTGCATACAAGTAGATTTAATTTACTTGAGGAACAAGTAAAATAAATTGGATAAAATATTCCCAGAACTTCACATTTAAATTAATTTCTAAATCACACTTTGACTCAGACATATTAATGCTGTGGTCTTTTCCTATGAAATTCAACCTTACATATAGAAAAGGGAAGGAGTTTTGTAAAAGTGTCTTGCTGGGCACAGTGTTTGTGGTGCTTATTTCTAGTTCTGGTTATTTAAACTCAACCAGACTTCAGCAACACACAAACACATACTTAACATATATTTTGGTCCAGATTTTTTTAAAGAACTCAATGGAAAGTAAAGCTTCTGTACAATTTTTATTGAGTTGGTTGGGTTTAGGGTTTTGTTTGTGTGGGCTCTTTCTCCATATGTTTTAATATCTTGTGACTCTGGCTTTCTGGTTCATGCAGACACAGTAAGAGTAACCCTTGAGTATACAGGTGTTGGCAAGTCTTGCCTTTCTCAAACAACCTGCCAGACAATCCAGATGCTTGGCACACAGGTAAAGGAGCTGCAGCAGAGTTCCATCAAGTTCTCAGAATCTGGGTGTTGCCTGTGGATCTCAGTCTGGGAACACAAAAGTTTGCTCTCCCAAGGAAGTGACAATTCCTGGACAAGAAGGAAGCATCCACTAGTGTACCCCTGCCTCCCATGGCTAATCATAGCAATTAGCTCTGCTAGAGAAAAAGTAATGATTTCCCCCACAGAAACTGAGGGAGGTCCCAAGAAGATTGTCTATGAATTCAGTTCTGACTGGTGAGGGAAATAATAATCACCCCCACTGCTTACATCAAGTGACTGGAAAGTCCAAATGAAAGACTGATGCAGCCAACCTTATTTCTCATTTTCCCACAAGTGATATTGGAATCTATTTGCCAACAATCCAACTAACCCTTTATGAAAGAAAGGAACAGAGAAAGAGTGCTAAAAAGATGGGGGCTAGGGGGAACAGGGTAAATAATTTAATGAAATTATGATTCCATTTAAAAAGAAATGCTCTGATCACATATGTATAGTATATATACATAAATAGATATATATCCATCAGCTTTAACCTAAGAAGGGAGGAAGAAGGGGGAGGAAGGGGAGGGAGGGAGAGAAGGAAGGGGGAGGGAAGGGGGGAGAGACAGAGAGATGAGAAATAGAGAGATGGAGAGTAAAACTAAAGCTAAGGTCATACCCTGCAAGAAACCAAGTGAACAATGAGGTGAGGTGACTTCAGGGTGCCCACCCTGGATTACACATGGATAGAAGAATGAGGAGGCCAGGTCCCAATAAGATGGG